ATGTTGCAAAAAAGAAGACCCGAATGCAAAGCTGCCTTTTATTCCCACTTTTTTCTCCACTGATTTGTTTCTTACAGACAGCCCGGTTTGCGCCTCGTGTACCGCAGCAAAGAACCTTGCACAGGTTTATGGCTTAGCAAGGCATTATAAAGTTAGAGAAATATTACAGTTCTTTTAGATACATTTGTGCTAAACATCTAACATACATCAAAGGACAAATTTAAGTATTAAACAAAAAATTGTGTGCTACAAGCTCAACCTCTCGAGCTGCATCGCCATGAACCCCCGATGGAACTTCCTTTTGAGGGGAGCTCACGGTGAAATGTGGTGGTATAACTGAAAGCCTGTGCGGAAATTGCGAGAAAACCTTTAATTTGATGGTTCCGCGGATTGTGCAAGTGTGTGATCACACTTATGTGACATTAGAGTGTGAATCAGGCTCTTGAAATGGGTGTGATCACTGGTGGTGCGTGCCAGTGGCTTGTACTGATCTTGCTGTGATGGGGAGTGCGCGTGCGAGGTTTGTGCTTCTGAGAGAGGACATTGCTCTGGTATTCTTTAACTCTAATGACTCCCAACAAAATGTGATATATTGATACCTGCCTCTACCTTAAGGTCGACACTTAAGCATGACAAGATAATGACGTCGGCACACTGAAAGGAACACTAGCCTCCATGCCGCAGGGGTGTTCAAAGGCACTTTGCTGCTTCAGTATGATCTTGCCAACGTTTTGGACGTGTTGAGGTGCTGCAGCATGTAATTGACCCATTGCATGCCATTCTATTAGCAATTCATTTAGGCAGAATGGGCAGTCCAGTACAGCTCATTAATGCACATGCTTGGTAGAAGCTTGCATGATACAGCTTTACAAAATTGTGTTTCACTTAAAAATTCTGAAAGTATGGTGCTGTACGAATGTAGATGCACAAACTGCTGTCTTAACAAATTTTGTACGCAGGCAAGCATCGCTTGTGAGTCATCATTGTCAGTCACTGCAACTTGTGTGGGATGCTGGGTGCTGGGGAAGGTGGAAACGTATTGCTGTTGGTTTCTTAGATAGCACTTAATAATATTTTTATCTTGAGCCTTGTGTGCACCGGCACCTTCATCACCTCCCTGAATTTCGCCCATCTAACAACAGCTACATGCACTTGTCATGTCTCCAACATTGTGCAAAGTCAACAAGTTTGCAGTGCCAATTTACTATACGTCACATTCTCTTGTTATACATGTGTTATCACTTGTGCAAACAATATCATTGAGTGAAGCGGCCTGATGGCTACAGCATGTTGCATGGCTGCGGAGGCAGAAGACGTCTTTACATCTTTATCATCTATGTTTTGTGGATTCCTAAAACAGGCTGAGCAAGTGATGTCACTTATTGGTTGTGTGCTTTACTGAAAGTGATGTGTATATTGTATCATGCGTTTTTGGTCAGTCATATGTTAGATGCAGAGTTAATACAAGAATGCAGGCTTGACCCATATTTTCATAATGGAATTTATTATAAAAGCATCAGGGATTGCGGTACAAAAACCGTATCATTGTTTATTATGCTGTGCCACAGTACAGCACATGGATTGGGCCACAAGGACACTGTTGGCCCGTGCTATTACACAATGTACCACACTGGTTGATACTCTTTGTGAAGTCTATGAGATAGCAGCTGATAATTTATGAATGACTGATAACAACTGATTTGGCAACGCCAAAGGACTATCACCTGCGAGAATACTGTTGCACCACAATGGTCATAGAAGGGTAAACTAGTAATGGCATAGCTAATACTAAGCAAGAAAAACATTTTCGGCAGTTCAACCTTACCAGCTTTACCATAGCAATAACAGTACTTTGCCTATCAGTTCATAGCAATGTCAGAGATTCATTAATTTTTGCATCCAACTGCATTTTAAGCTACAAATAACAAAGAAAGTAGCAACTGTACACATCACATGATATGAATGTCAGGACTACAGCACTGCAGGCAAGGGTAAGGCGACAATACGGTAGTGGCATCCTCGACAGTCCTTTGCAGGTTTCGGTAGGAGGCTCATGACGCTATATAACAGCCTTCACAGCGTCTCGTGCTTTAATATTTACACGCGCCCTGGTCGCCGGCTAGACACGCTTCGCTCGGGTTGGGGGTCAATTTGACCCCCTGAAATCTCGGGAACTAAGAAAGCTAGACACCAAATGTACAGGGTGTGTTGATCTGTACGTAAAATCACTTAGGTCAAAGCTTGAGCCTCCTAGGTCATGACCTTCAGGTCAAATAAGGTTAAACAAGGTCAAATTCCATGATGGTCTCCAAATTGCCCCAGAGCCTAGGCAACTATTTCTAAGCAAAAAGTCACAAGCCCATTTGAGGTCAGTGACCTGTTCGACGTTTTCAAGGTCATGGTGACCAAAATCATACAAGACTGCTCTGAGTTTTGCGTTTGAATGAGCGACAAAGATTACGCTGGGCAGTATGTTCATAAAACAAAATGTCGACCCGGGTTATCTCAGGTCAATGACCTGTTCTGACCTCAAAGAAGTCAATGGAAGATGTATAATGCGTTTCCTGCTGTCAATAAATGCGAAATGAGCACCAGAAGCTATCCCATACAGCAAGCCCTAAAGTAATAAATCAGGTTGGATTTGACCTTGGTCTGACCTTAATACCTCACCAAAGGCCAACGTAATTTGCCCATTCAATATTTGCGCTGCCTAAGAAAGCATCTCAGAGATGTATAGATTCATCAAACACTCCGTTGTTGGATCAGATTGAATGATGTCCCAGAAATTGCCTTCGCTAAAGCGATGTCCTGACTTTCACCTGCGAGGTCAGTTACCTTGCGAGCTACATCTAATTTTTTTAAAATTCAAACGATCTGCTATTCAGTTGTCTACAGCTATGCAAAATTAAGCGCGGCTACGCCGCGCCGTTCGGAAGCCATTCTAGAAAAACTTTCAGGGAGGTCAGTTTGACCTTCACCCCACCCGAGCACGTGTCAATAATCTGCCTTAAAAGCTGGCGATCGCTACGCTGTGTATGTCAAACAGCCCACCAAAGCTTTTCTTCCGACCAGTAACAAACCAAAAAATCCACAAACAAGCCATTCAGTAATCCGCCACTCAACACAGCACCCGAGACGAGAATGGCTTGTTGGCGTCAGCTTTTGTGCGTTTCGGGGTATTCTGAGGTCTGGCTGCCAGATGCTGCCAGGTATTGCCGTCGTCACAAAACCATTCCATGACGCCATCGAATGTTATGGGGCGCATTTTCGGAAACTTTGAAATTGTGCTACTTAGGGCAGTTTTTAAGTTGAAAGCTTACCAATAGTTGCAAATAAGCTTTTTCCATTATATCTGATGCCTATCTCAATGTCTTGAACTGCGGTACATTTCCTTCAAAAGGGCATAGCTGTGAGCTGCACTGCCTGCTCTTCAAGACGGACATTTCAGTTCAAATCCCCATAACCCATGACACCAAATGTGGAGCACTCTCTGTAATGTGGGAGTGTCGCCAACTCAGCACCGCGACAGACTGTGATCTCTGTCCATGTGGTTGCTGCATTGTCTCACCATACTAAGGCCAGTTCTTAAGCAATCTTCTTGCGGTGGTCGTGGCCCACCGGCTCCCTCCATATTCATCAGGTGACGACCTCGTCACAAACGCCAGTACATAGACATGTGGCGTCCCAGCTTATGACCAATACACAGGTCACTTGTCAACACCCTCTTCTGCAGACTTGAGCTGCTGCAGCCTAAGGCTACCAACTTTGGGCTCTTTTTACCTGCGCGATGCAGACCTGCGGACTTCATACGTAGCACCTCAGTACACAACAGCTGACAACTGTGAAGTCTGGGAAAAAAGTCTGGGAACAACTGTCTGAGAAACCAGAGGTACGGGGTTCGATTCCCCGCGGTGCCCGCCCTTCCTGCCAGGGTGAGAGGCAGGCGACGCCATATAGCCCCAGCACCTGAGTTCGTCGTAAAGCCCCAATGACGCACACACTGGAGTGGAGTGGTGGAAGCCTGCAGCGGATTGTACAGTCAGCCCGTGAAGTGTGAGTTGCCGTGAAATAAGTTGCCGTGAAAGAGCTTAATGTTCATCACTAAGACGCAATGTCATGCAAATTGACATGTTGCTATACGAACGCCAACGGTGCCTTCTCTTCACGCAGCGAAGCAAAAGTGAACCGTAATAAAGCGATATATTTTTGCTGTCCTGAGTCCGTGGGCAGCGTTGCACCAGCAACATAACGGAGTTATCCATGAGCGCTTAAAAGCCTATCAAAGCAACTCAAACATACTTCATGTTCTTCACCTTTGTTAGACACGAGTCAACGTTACGCCGTTGATGGTGGCGCAAGTGGCGCCAAAGGTATCACCGCTTTGCGCAGCGAGACAGATGGGATCCACCTGCGATGTCGATAACCTTGGCTTTGCCCTTGTTTCTTCAGTATCAGTCTGACCCACCGCAGGAAAGAATCCAATGATCAAACGTTTATCTGGCCCCAATGACCGGGTCCCTGAATACTTAGATACTTCTTTGCCTTTCTAAACCGGGTGTGTTGCATGTAGGCTTTTTTGGCTAGGTTTGAAATATCTAAATATCTTGCATGGAAATTGCATTTGTTTTATGTTTATCGAGGAATCAGTTACTGACCTGACCTATCAACCTCGACAAATATTTGAGAACGCACTGGTGGTGTTTTTGCTAACTCACCTCTGCAGCGGTGATGTCAGGCTTTGTTGTCAAAGATGGTGAGAGGATTTCATGTCAAAGGTAAGAACCTGTTCCTGAAATCGGCGCCGTATGTCATATTGGTTACAGCTTCATACTTGTTTTATTTCAAAAGTCCATTCAACAAGGAGTGACTGATGACTTCACTGATGAAAGATAGGAACTGATAGTAGCACTGGTTTGTTAACTTTGCTCGTAGCAAATGCCTTTTTATGATGAAATGTCGACAAATGCGTTTTCAGTCCAGATTAAGTTCAAAAGACATTGTCAGTTACAGTCTTCAACGTTTATTTCACTGCATCAGAGGGCGATGGCGGACAAACAACCGCAGCGCACCCATCACCCAAAACGGTAACAATAACAGTTAGAACGCATTCAAACAAGTCTGCTAGTCCTATGCAGCTACTTCCTGTGCAAGCTTTTGTTAAATTTCACTTAACACTCGACAGGATATATATATATATATATATATATATATATATATATATATATATATATGGGTGCAAAGTATTTTCCAAAGTCGCATTCAACGCAATATGATATTGCAGCAGCGGTGGATGGCAGCTACAGAAATAATTAAAAGCTCTCGTTGCAACTAGCATTGTTGAGACCCACGCCTATGAAGATTGGGGGTTTTACATGTTCTCGAAGGAACGCTATCAACACAAATAGCAATACGGCTCATCGTAGCATGTTTCCACACGTGGCATACAAAGAATGATGCCAATGCATGCTCGGTGAATATTTATGCTGACCTCCCAGACCATGAACGTTCTTTCTGAAATGCTTTCTTGTGCCAAAGCCCGAGGCGCCATGTCAGTTTAACACTTGCCTGTCGACGCTTTTCAACCACAACGTTGCTGCCAATGACTTTCGTCATGTGATCTTCTCTTAGCAGAGCGGAAGCGACTGCGCGAGGGCTACTGGGATGCAGAGCACATTCAATTCTTCGATGAGGTTGGCATTTGTCGAAGTACTCAATATCGTCTTGTGAACCGTTCGCGTGTAGACAAGAAAACGAGGGTCGTTTCCACCGGCTTCTGAAACACGACACGTGCGGCTGTGAGAGGGGCATCGACGCTGGCGCGCCCGCGTCAAGTGGCAACCCGTATGAATCAAGCAAGGACAAATAGCATGGTGAATCAGCAACTGTTGTCTTGAGCACCTGCATTTGCGTCTTTAACAAGCTGTCCGCCCCGTGTATATTTTGCACTGCGGCATTCTTACCTGCAAGTGTTTGCTGGTCGTCAATAAGCGAGCCGGTGTCCTCGTATATTATTTTGCACTGCGGCATTCTTACCTGCAAGTGTTTGCTGGTCGTCAATTAGCGAGCCGGTGTCCTCGTGTAGCCCCATGGGGTGATCCAGTGTTGTGACGAATTCCTGTTGCCTCATAGAACTCTCAAGCGCCACAGGATCCAGCTGCTGAGTTGCGTCCAGTGGTTCCACCTGCAAAAGTCCCAAGCCCTTCACGAGCCTTTGAGGCTTGAGTGTTGAAACGGTAGGACACTCAGGTTAAAAGAGAGTAGAGTATCAGTGCGGGTGTGGCCACCCCATCACAAACTACTTCAAAATGAGCGCACTTGCGCACCACAAAAGACCACGAGCGCACCACAAACGCACTACTTCAACCTGATCACACCGGGCGATTACGTAGTTCGCGCCTTGAAGGTGCAGTACTCGTTGTTAAAAATGTGGAACCTACTAACCAGCATAAAAATCAACCTAAATTAAGGAGCGATTACGCTACAATTCATGTCATTACAGCATCTGTTAATATGAAATAGTTGAAACTAGCCACTCCCATGGATGACAGCGGGCGAGCCACTAATACACTAACCCAAGAAGAGTGTAACAAAACGACAGTGTAATATACCACAAAGTTCCATGTGCAGATTAATATCCCGGTCTTGAAGCTCGCATGCCGCCAGGCCCTGGTGGGTTTGCCGGAATGAAAGCTCACTTGGGTCACACTTTTGTGCCTCTTGTGTACATGATCTTGTGATCAAAAAGGTCTCTCTCTCTCTCTCCCTCTCTCTCTCTCTCTCTCTCTCTCTCTCTCTCTCTCTCTCTCTCTCTCTCTCTCTCTCTCTCTCTCTCTCTCTCTCTCTCTCTCTCTCTCTCTCTCTCTCTCTCTCTCTCTCTCTCTCTCTCTCTCTCTCTCTCTCTCTCTCTCTCTCTCTCTCTCTCTCTCTCTCTCTCTCTCTCTCTCTCTCTCTCTCTCTCTCTCTCTCTTTCTATCTCTATCTCTCTCGCTCTTTCTTTCTGCATCTGCCTCGGTCTCCATTTCTCTTTCGATCTTTGTGTCACTTCCCTTTTTTCTCTCGTGGTCTCACACGTACACGCACATGCACACACATACACGACCGTCCACACATTTTTCCTACTTGACCTGCGCGCACGTATGCGCAGTGGTAACGCTCTTTGGTGCTGTACTCTACACCTGGTGATGCAGAAGCAGCGCCTGATCGCGTCTCTGACCAGGAAGGCAGATAACTGTCTCATAACCACTCCGTGATGAGCACGAGCGATTAGTCTACTTGCTTCTGAAGCTCATTTATATTCTTGCTTTCAAATATGGAAACAGTGCCGTCTGCATATAGTACACGCCTCGGCGGCGGTAAGCAATGGGTAATGCATACATTTAGAATATAAAAAATGGGGCAAAGATGGATCCCTGGGCACCCTTAAACCAATGTTCCAATAAGTTGATGAAGTGTTCCGCATTTTCGTGGATTGTTTTCGGGCAGATAAATGTGAATGAAGCATTCGATAGGATCTAAAGATGATATCACATTTCTCATAAAAAGCACATTACTATTTACAGTGTCGAAAGCTTCTTAAGGGTCAATGCATACTAGATCATATTCACCTTGCAGAAGCCAATTTGCTTCCGTTTTTCTAGATGCCAGCCTGAGCGTCGTAACTTATAGCATTATTAATTAGAGAAAGCATGCGTGGATTATGATTTTGAATTGGATTTTTGGGAGATATGGCAATATGCTAATTGGGTGGTAAGCAGTTGCATTTTCTGTAAGTATTGGCTCGATTACAGCGATTTTCAGAACCTTTAGGGACATGAAAAATAGTACAATAAATCAATATGTAAATCAGGTATTGAGTAAAGCTTGATGTAAAGATCTGAAAATTTAGGAAGTAGATTTGGTTGCAACAGCTCTCACATTCTCACCCTGTTAAAAACGTTCGAAAGTTCCCCTTCCGTTGAGGTGGTCGACTCATGCTGTTTAGATTTCGAGTGATGGATGCAGGAGATGAAATGCTGACCATAGGTTCCTTTTTAGCTGTTTTCCTTCCCCGGCAGAGAACTTGTTGAACGCCTCATTCATATGCTCATCTCGCTGATCTCAACCTCAATGACGTCATTGATCTTACCTTGAATTGGAACTCCCGGAATATTACTTATAGGGAATGTTCCACATTTGAAGATATTGAAGCAAGCATCAGATATAATAAAACAAGCTCACTTATAGCTATTGGTTTACTTTTAAGTGGAAAAACCGTTCTGTACAACACCATTGCTCTATGTAGCAAATATGCTCAATAAATCATATGTTCATTACGTCATCGTACTTTGCACAACGTTGGCTGAAAACCAATTGACAGCCGGCATATCTGGAATTCATACTTACTAACTAGCGCCAGACAGATACGACTCGACAAGCGTATATTTATTGGCCTTGATCATCGCGTGGCCAATGGCATGGCATTAATTGAATGACTTCATTTTTGCATCATGGATGCCTGGGTTACCTTAAAATAGTCTGCACGGGTTGGTCTGCACATCTTCGCCCGCGTATAATTAAAAAATAAGAGGGGTTTAGATCATAGAAGGACAAGACTGTACACTGCACGGAATGATCTTCAATATGGATATTTCAGCTCATATCCCCATACAAATATGGAAACACCCCCCTCAAGCGCTCCCGCATATCTTGTCGCAGCGCATCTAAGTAGTTTGGTCAATATGTTTTGGCACTGGTTATAGCTGTTGACTCTGAAAACAGAACCCCCAAGCTCATATAACAAGTATTTTGTTTGTTAGCAATGAATGATAACAGCGTGGTGCAGCCAAAGGCTTCAAGAGCTGTTGGTTTTGAGGTCTTCACGTATGAAAATTTGGAGACACTTTCATCACACACGTTGATAATATGGTCGGCAACGATGACAGGGTCTTCTTCATCTCAAATGCCAAACAGCTTGTTGTTGAAAAATAATATATGTTTATCAAATTTGCTTTAATGGAATCAAGGTATTGTTAGAGGGATTTGTGAACATTCTATTGCGTTCATACGCATGTTTAGCTAAACATGGGAAAGTCACCTTGCCCAATTTCTGCAACCATATCAGACACAGCTCATGCTCCTCGGAGATGAACAGAACCTTGTCTGTATTAGGTACCAATGATGACTGATTAACTATTGCATCAATGTTGTCCAGTTTTAGAGTAACCCGTATCACCGCAGCTGTGAAGAGAGCTGGTGTTACAAGTTCTCGGGGATTAAGATGATCACGGTCAAACAGAGCACTTTTTCAGCTGCCCCTGCTAGCCTATGGGTAGCAGACATAGCTTGGTATGTCGTAGCTGTTTTCTCAATGACGATGCGAGCTAGGGCCTGTTGGCCCACTCGTGGCTGGCGCATGCCCCGGACAAACGAGCGAGGAAGAGGATAAGACGGTCAAATGTTTGCTCACGACTTTCCCTTTCACTTTATCTAGTTTAAGGCCTTTCGGCCCGTTCAGACCATTTGACGCCTTGAAGAAGAAACTAAAAAAAGGTGCACACGATGTCATATCCTGTGAAACATGTTCGTACGTCTAAAAAACTACATAACGAAGTTTCAAGCGGATGCGGGTGATCGACACCTACTGAATCTCTTAAAGATACTTCCTGAATAAATTCACAGCAATAAGTCTGCAGGACACTAAGCTCTTGTTTGTATTCACCACTTTCAAGAAGAACGTATCCCACTTTAAGAGGGCGGTCACATGAATAACAAATGGAATGAGGGTGTTGCAAATATAAGTATATGAGTGAGCCTTGTGTGGACAGGTCGAAAACGGGTCAACACCTGTTCCAAACAGACTTTGCGGTTTGCATTTCATGATTCACAGCTCATCACGATTCACGTTTTGTGCTACATAATATAAGAGGTTGGATGTCCTCGCTATTCATCGCGGAAAAGGGCCTGTAATCGAAAAATAAATAAAAAAGCCATAGCCGGGCATGAGAATACCAGAAAACGTCTTAAATTCACGGATAAATATGTAAGGACACCACGAAGAAGGGACCAAGCACGAGCGCATAACGATACATTGCCACTGCCATCTCTCCTGTTGTCTAGAGCAGTCTTTGCACTTAAAAGTATACGAATAGTTATAAGCGAGTTTTTCATCATACCTGAGGCTTTCTTCAAGATCATCAAATGTAGAAAGATGATCAAATTTCATTTCAAATGCACTCACTTCAACGTATGCTCAAATGCACAAAAATACATCGGCATGCCCAAAATGAAACGAGGAGCACGCCAGTGCAAGTTTCATACTACCACCTGGCATCCTGCCGTAAAGATTGGGATCTAAATCTGCAAGAATCCGATTTTCGGGAAACCTTCACCTTTGATCTGGCATAGTGGGGTCGACCATTGACAGCAGCATAATGTAATGTCATGTAATACCATTAACGAGATCACAAGAGTTAAGGCCAATCCACTGTTTTCTTTCCGCGGGGCTCCACCATTCTCAATGTATAAATTGAAAGTATATTGCATACCACGCACATCCGTTTTCGTTATGAAAAACAACGAATCAGGGCAATAGTCAAAATAAGGCAAGCAAACCGAGGTTTCTATCGCAACTTGGCGCATACCTTTGGAATTACGGCGTGAGATCTTCTTTTCCGTCTTCCTACACACAGATCTACCGTGCCTGAAATAGCAAAAATCGTTGGTGACTAGGTACGTGATATGCAATTATAATAGCTCAATGCTCCTCAGCCGCAAATGCGCATCGTGTACATTTGATACGTTGGAGGTCCATGTAGATAATACAGTGGTGACGGCATGTGATTGCGCCCAAATGGCTGTATGGAGCGACAGCAGACACGACTAATGTGAGTCAAACGCATTTATAAACTTGGTTACCGAGCTGAAAATAAACAAAAAATGAAAATTACAACATAGATCCTGGATTTCAAATGATTATTTGATAGCATTACGTGAATGAGGTGGGATTCTGGAAGACATTTTGGCAACACCTGGAAACGTCTCCTTATTACAAAGGAGTACTCAGAAAACTCAAAGTTGTTCTGGATCCTAGAAAATCTGGGACCCAGGACTCATGGATCCAATCTTATGATCAATTTCTGAATCAAACGGCGTAAATGCATGTTTTGGGCACAACCTGACTTGCTCATGCCAGCAGGTGATTTGTTTAGACGTATGTCACGCAAGTTGAAATGTAGTGCGGCGGATAATTTAATCTTCTCTTTTTTGTATTTTATGAAGCACTAATATTGCTATCAAAATGATCAAAAAAGAACCTCGACAAACGCAACTGCATCTGGCACACAATTGGCATGCCGACCGGTGAAACTTTTATAATATGACAAGCGCCTCAATAACCCAACGTTTTTTTTTTAGATGGAGCCCACATCCATTGTGTGAAAATTGCTGGTTTAAAACATTCGAAGTCCTCTCTGTTCTGACATTCTCAGAAGGCCTCATCTCAGATTATGTGGCATGCACTTTTCGGGCGGCGAAACTCAAGTTTCCAGCGTCAGCCCACAGCAAAACTGGACAACAGTTATTTCCGCCACCCAAGGCGCCCATAGCTCAGTGCTTCTACCGCCTTGGCACGCCATGCGAGTAGCGGCTTTCGTGCACAGTTTCACAGAGTATCTTTCGTACCGCTGCAAAACTGATAGGCTTGGCATGTCTTGCTTTGGGTTGCATAAATGTATGGCAAAGATTGGCGAGCAGCACCATTTTGTGTATGAAACATTTCCTGCAATGATTGCTACACTTTGAAACAAACGGGTAATGGCTGACATAAGACAGTTTTGGCTGTGCTCATCATTTTTTAAGTTCATTTACATACTCTGTTTATTGGCGCTTATTTTCACGTCCTTATCTACCGCTGGACAACGCATTCATGCATCAACGTGGCAACGCACTGCATTTCGTTATACCTTGGATGGTCATGCATAGCACAAGCCTGGATCATTTTTCCTCGGCCACAAGTTCAGATACAATTGGAGCAGCCTCAGTGGCAAAT